AGCGGGAAGCCGGGCTGCAGCAGCCTCGTGTCTGCGGCTCTGGCTTGACCGCCCCGGTGGTCCCGGCGACCGCGCTGGCCCCCGCCGTGCCCCGGACTCAGTGACCGCGGGGTGGCTGCAGTACTGAGCTTCGCCAGTAGGCGCCGCTGCCACCTGGCTTCGCCGCCCTCCTGGTCTGAAGTCGGGTGAATGGTCTCCGGCCCGGTGTTCGGGCCGAGGGTCGGCAGGCGTCGGTCGGCCGCCTGGCTGGAATGTGCGATCCGGTCCCTCCCCCGTCTTCCTCACGCCAGGGGCTGCGAGAGGTGTGTCTCGAGCGTGGTTGGACAGGTGACCGCGGGCGACTGAGAGGACCTGGGCTGGCTGCCCTAGCCTGGTGCTCATGGGGCGCCGGGGGCAGGAGCCCAGGGGTGCCGCCTGGGTGAGCGTGGTCCCACGGCCTCCAGCAGGGGGAATTGCTGGGCGGGACAGGAGGCCGTGCCACGGTGGGCAGTGGTGTGGGGCTCGCTGCGGCCGGCGGCGCCCCCGCCCACCGGTCTGCGCAGGCCCTGGGCAGTGGGTTCACACCTGAGCGCCTCCCTCGGGGAAGCTCCTGCCTGCCGAGCCCCGGGGTGGGGCGGGGTGGCCTAACGAGCGTTGCTGGGGCTTTGAAACCCCCGAGATGAAAGGCGGGCGTGTGGGAGGTCCCGGCCTCTCCCCAGCCTCTGCGGGCCGCCAGGCCTGGCGCGGCCCCCCGGAAGCGCCCTGCCCTCGGCCGCCTGCGAGGCCCCATCGGGAGCCCAGAGTCGGGGAGCTGGGGTCCGGTGTCTGGCTGCCGCCTCTCTAGGACTTGAGCCGGCCCAGCGGTGCGGCCAGGCAGGTGGAGGTCGGCTCAGGCGGCCCCGCCCCGCCCCGCCCAGGCAGCCAGCACTCCCCCGAAGCCGCCGGCCTGCAGACCCAGGATGTTGTTTCTGGGGCCTGGAGCCGGCCGCCCCACACCTCCCCCGTGGCCCCCGGGGGCTGAGCTGTCGGGGGCCTGGCTGGCCGGGGTCCAGCCTCCGGCCTCAGTGCCACTGGCCGCGGGGCGCCTCGGAGGGGCTTCTCCACAGAGGTTCCCGCGGCCCCTGACGGCCCCCTCCGCTCCTCTCTTGCAGACTTCTCCACCCAGGTGAACTCCTCGTCCCTCAGCTCCCCCTCCGGCCGGGGCCCCATGGCCGCCCCCTCGCTGCACCCCTCGCTGGGGCCCGGCATCGGCGCGCCCCTGGGCTCCCCGGGACAGCTGCAGTCGCCCATGAGCACGCTGGGCTCCCCCATCAACGGCATGGGCCCGCCCTTCTCCGTCATCAGCCCCCCCGTGGGCCCCCACTCCATGTCGGTGCCCACCACGCCCACGCTGGGCTTCGGCACGGGCAGCCCACAGGTAAGTGCCCCGGCCGCCAGCCTCGCTCCTCTCCTGTCGGGGCCCGGGGTGCGTTCGGGTCTGGCCGACGCCTGGGCCTGGACGCCACTGTCCGCCCCCACGTGGGCAGCCCGGCCGCCCACCTTGGCCTCCAGTCTGGGCTCACCTGCCTCCCCCGAGCTGGAGCCGGGAGCCCTCCCCCGGCCTCAGGGCGGCCCCGTGTCAGCTGCCCGGGTCACCCTCACGCTTTCCCGGCCCTCTGCGCCTCGGCGGGGTGCACGGGCGCGCGGCTGGGCCGGGGCAGGCAGCGTGCTCCCACTCACGTCACCCGGCTGCCCGGAGCTGGCAGAGGCCGGGCACTGGCAGCGGGTGGCCTGGCCGTGGTATTTTTAGCACGGCGCCCCCCTCCCCCGCCAGCTGCACCGTGCCACACAGCGCGTGCCCGCCTGGGGGCCTGGTGCCCTGGGCACTGTTGGCCGGGGCGTGGGGCGGCTGGGGCCACGTGGCTCCCCGCTCACAGTGAGGTCCTGGCCCCGGGTGCGTGGAATGGAGGCTCTAGGCCCCCAGGACCGACGTGGGGTCACGTGCAGGCGGGGCTGGGGGTTGAGGCTTGGGGGGGCGTGCCCCGTGGGCCCCAGCTGCCATGCTTCCTGCCGCTCAACCCGTGCGTCCGCGCGTCTCTCGGCCAGCTGGCCGGTGACTGCCCGCGTGGCCAGCCCGCGCCCGGCCTCCTGGCAGCTTTCGGCCCCGCCCCACGGTTCCTTCCTCGGCAGCTCAGTTCAGTTTCTGGACTTCAGCAGTTTGTCTTGGAAACCTGGGGTTCCCCATATTCTGGGAGTGTGGGTGGAGTTCGGGGGGGCCTGCTCCCACCCACGGCCCCCGTCCCCCCACAGCCCCAAAGCCACAACCGCGAAGTCGTAGCTGCCGGCACCGGCGAGGCCGTCCGCCGCCCCCTCTGTGGGCGGCCTGGCGCTGGGGCGCCGCCCTGGAGTGCAGGGCCGGAGAGCAGCTGAGGTGCCCGCTGGCCTGCGCCAGGAAGTGGACCCCAGGCCAGGCAGGGCAAGGCCAGATGACCGCCCAGGCCTCCAGTGCGGACTGGGGGGCGTACCATGCATCTGAGGGGCCCTGCCCCGGGCCAGCCCAGCCCCCCGGGTGTCCTGGTCCCCAAGTCACCTGCTCTGTCATGGGGGGACGCTTGGGCGGCAGATGCCTCCATGGCCTGCCCTGGGGGATGGTGGCACGCTTGAGGCCACGAGTCTGCTTTCAGGGTGCAGCGGGCCCGCAGTGTGGGGCTCTCCCGAGTGGACCCACAGCCGGGCTCTGAGGAAGGGCGGGTGGGCGTGAGCTGAGGCCGGAGCCCTCTGGGCCGGGTGAGGTGGTGCCTGTTTCAGTGGGTCCCAGGGGCTCCGGTGAGAACCGAAATAAATGCCAAGGACGAGAAAGGGGAACCGGGAGGGGCCCGCCTCGCCCTGCCCGGCAGGCCCAGCTGCGTCTCCCTGGGCCAGGTGTGCGGGGCTGCGGGCCTGGCGGGGAGCTGCGGAGGGGTCTGGCACGCTCAGCTCCGGGGGCCAGAACCTGGGCGTGCGCCCATCAGCAGGGCACTGGGGCCCCTGGGCCCGGCCTGGCGGGGTGGGCGGCGCCGGGGCATCTTCGGTGCAGGGAGCCGAGGGGTAGCTGGGCCGGGGGCGGGGGGCTGCAGCCCAGCCTGCCCCTGCCCACATCACAGGCCCGGGCTGGCCGCCGTGTGGCGGAGCCCTGCCACACGGCACTGATGCCCGCAGCCCCCAGGACCCTGAGCAGTGGCTGCGGTTTGGCCTCAGTTTGCCAGGGCCTGCGCTGGGCGCCGGAGGACGGGGCAGGCGGCCCCACCGGCCCTAGTTGGGGCCACCTCAGAGGTAACGTCCGAGGGCTGGCCCCATCGCCTCCCAGTGTGGAGGCCCGGCCCACTCAGGCAGCCCCGGCTCTGTGTCCGTGCTGCCCACTGTCACCCGTGCACAGGGCTTGCCCAACGCGTGGGGCACTTCTCCCCGGTCCTCCTGACTGGAGGAGGCAGACGGGCCGGGCGCGCTGGCCGGCCCACCCACTGCCCCCTCGCCGGCCGCAGCAGGCTCTGCAGCAGGAGCGGTGGACGGGGGCCCTTGCCTCGGGCCTTGGTTTGCTCTGCCGCCTGTGGGGTCACTGCAGGACCCTGAGCCTCAGGGCCCCAGCTGGGGAGTGGAGAGCAGTGTCCCCAGAGCACTGTGGGGCGCCCCCTGGGTTCCCACGGCTGGGAACCCGCCAGCACCTGCAGGCAGCGCATGGGCAGACCCAGATGGTGGCGTGTGGACCCCGTGGCCCTCATGGTCCTGCCCCGGCCCACGGTGGGAGCTGCACAGCAGAGGGGGCTGGAGGTGGCCGGGGCGGGGTCGCTGCTGGGGCTGGAGGAGGGGCGTCGGGGTGCTTCCCCGGCTCTCCCTCTGAGGACGGCGCCGGGTGGGGGCCTGGGGAGGCTCGGGGCTCCCATCCCCGCCAGCCGGTCCTCCGCCTGCCTCTGCCTCGCGGGGGGCGTTCCGAGGTGGAGGGGCTGGGAGGGGCGGCCCGGGCCCAGCGCTGGAGACAGGCGCCAGCGGCTGCGGTGGGAGTGGGAAGGCTGGGTGGGCCGGAGGAACCAGAACTGCTGTGTCACCGCAGCTGCGGTGGCTGTTGCCAGGGTGACCGGTGAGTTTCCCACGCTTCCTCCTGGCGCAGCACAGGCCCGGCGGGCTGAGGGACGCCCGCCCCGCCTCGCTCCACCTCGTGACCGAGGCCCCTGCAGTGTGGCCCGGGGCCCCATAGCGCCGCCCCTGCCGAGAGCAGCCCCGAGCCTTGCCGTGGGCCGGGGACCCCTCGCCTGCCTTGGGGGACGGCCCCTCGCTCACGCCCCCGACCCGGGAGAACCGCCGCCGAGAGCCCTGCCACCGGGGCAGGCGAGGGAGGCCGAGAGCTAGCCCCGGGTTCCAGGCCTGGGTCCGCGGGGAGGGGACGGGGCCCCCAGGGCCGGGTGGCTGGACGGGCCTGGGCGCCCCAGGCTGGGCACGACCCGCTGCACCCCCGTGACTGGCAGGATGGGGCGCAGCAGTCTTTCCTGCTGCAGGCCCGGGCAGCCCGCCCGCGGTGACCCTGGTGTCCCCCCCCAGCTCAGCTCCCCCATGAACCCCGTCAGCAGCAGCGAGGACGTCAAGCCCCCGCTGGGCCTCAACGGCGTGCTCAAGGTCCCGGCCCACCCCGCTGGGAACATGGCGTCCTTCACCAAGC